TATCTATATCTATATCTATATTTATATCTATATCTATATCTATATCTATATCTATGCAAAATCCATAAATCTAAATACAAAGAACTATCTATGCCTAGTATGATTTGCTCTACACGAACATATAATCGAAATGTCAAATCCCATCACTTTGTAAATGAGAGCAGCACGACTTGCAGATACCCTGCAAAAATAGATAATAGTTAACTTCATACAACAAAACAAGGAGAGATCGAATAATGTTCAAAAATATATATTATATACATATATATGTAATTCTATACAAATATATTTATACATATATATAAAAGCTACTCCTTCACTGTTTTTAGATCAAAGAAATATCTATGGGTTTTACTTCGCTTGTAAAAAGTTTATAGAGCGTTTAAAAGTTTTCAAAATGTTGAAGCTCTCAGAAATACTCGAAAAAGTCTTCAAATTTGTAATGAGAAAAAACAAAAACAAAACAAAAATGAAATGAAAAAGTATGAAGCGGAATTGAAACTGCGCGGAAACGGAACATGGCAGCGAAACACATGCAGCGCAACATGAAAAAAAAAAAAAACAGAAAAGAAAAGTAATTCTTCGGTTGCAACATTTTGTTGCCATGGCGGAATGCGATAAAGTTTTTAATTACAGGAGAGGGCGACACATATTTTACAGCCATTAAAAACTTGCCGACATGGCAAGAATACCGCCCCATTTCGTACCGCCCAGCTCCCGACCGGGAGTCCTCCGGCCCTCGCACATATGCCAGGCGACACGTTTGCCACCCACAGGCAAACAGACAAACAGACACCCTTTCGGGCGAGCAGCACTGCGAGTTTCAATTAACTGAAACATTTGCACATATACATACATACATATATTCCCACAGTCGAGCCCCATCGGACTGGCAGAATATTCAAATAATTCGCATGTGAACAATTAAGATGACCTAGAAAACAATTGCTGCAAAAGTTGGAGCTCTTGTTGGTTCCATTATTAAGGATATTTATCCTAAGCTTAGAAACTAAATGAGTACTGCTCAAGCTTACTATGCAGGAAATTTTAAAAAACTTGATTAGTTCTTAAATATTTCCATTTCGTAGACCCAAGGACCTCAGGAACTAGAGGAATTACAGCTGTTAGATTAGGTATGTGAGCTGACTGTGTGGAGTATATGAATACCTTCTTATTTAGGAACTTGGAAGGCCCTAAAGCTATAGCTCTCATCTTAGGTATGCGAGCTCTTCTTAAGCTTACTATGAAATATCAATGAAAGCCAGAACGGTTTAAGCTATTCTCTCAGGATTTTCACCTTATAGCCCCAAGGAACTTAGAAGGCATGCGAGGTAAAGCTGCTGAATTCGGTAAGTGAGGTGTTCTTAAGCTTACTATGCTAATAACTTCATATTTCCTCATTTCCGAGAAACCCTTCTGAAGGCACTCACGAATTGCTCTCAACTTTCGGTATATGAGCAAAAGCTCCAATTCAATAATTCACTTACAAATTGACAAATTAGGAGCATTATCTAGTCAAAATGCTAGAACATATATGGCTTAGCTAATTTGTTCAAAAAAATCCAAAAAAGAAATTATTATTTTTTTTTTTTGGAAAAATTATTTATTTATATATTTTTTAAAAATTCATTGTAAAATAAAAATAATGCTATCTTTTGTTAGAATCTAGCAATACTTTGGGAATATCTCTGTAGACTGCGCATCGCCATAGCCATTCATATGCTTCAAAGGCAAAGGGAGCGATTTCGGAGTCTGGCAAGATGTGCGAGGTGCAGACGTTGCAGGAAGACCTGGCCCAGATGTTCACCGAATTCAGGGAGCAGCGCTGCTTCGAGTTGCTCCGGCTGTTTGGGCAAGTGCGTAGCTGTGATTGCGACCACCAAATTCGTGTGCGGCAGATCCAGAAGCCGGCGCTCAGATTACCGATGGCCAGACGGAAATTGCTAGCGTTTTGCGTAATATTCCTGCTGCTGCTGCTGCTGCTGGCCTTGATGTGGATCTATACGACAAGGCGATACAATCAGGTGGCGGCCATGGGCAGCGGCGCCTGCGCCTCCACAATCCTATTTACCCATAACGATTGCGATATCTACGCTTAGCATTGTTTTTATTTACACATTAAATATGAATTTATTTTTTAAGCCATGCGGGTCTACTACTTGGATAGCAATCGATAGTTGTGATATCGATCAATATCGTTTTGGAAGACTACGGATATGCAGGTGTTGTCTTATCTACTGTGTATATCTCTACTATTTTTATGAGCAGGCTCAATTTCGATAATTATCGACGAGGGCTCTCATATAGCCATATTTTTATACCCAATATTCATATTCTCTATGTAAACTCTGCTTTTATTTTTATTGCAGAATTCATATTGAGATATCGCTATCGATAAATATCGATGATTGCATATATATATATATATATATATATATATATATATATATATATATATCTTTTTCTACAATCATCTCTCTCTCTCTCTCTCTCTCTCATAACCGCCTCTGCCTTCATCTCTCTCTTCTACTCGCTCTTTCTCTCCCTCTCACTTTCTTTTACTCCTCTCTTATTTTCTCACTTCATTTTTCACATTTGAAACATCGTCTTCATCTATGGAACTCAATGTATAGCTGCCTCTGAGCTTTAACTTTTCGATATCTGGTAATATTGCTCATTTCTGCTTCTGTATTTTCCCCAAGCGATTCCAAAAATGCACAACAGAGGGCGCAACAGCAACACAAAGCAAAAACCAACAACACAAAAAAAAAAAAAAAAAAAAAAACACTTTCAAACATCTAACAACAAATTCCTTTACAATTCACTAAACAGCAACAACAAGAGGAAGAGCAAAAAGTCGAGCTTTACGCAAATTGTGCAAACACAAACCCAAAAACTACCAGAAATAAAAAGTAGGAAAAAAAATTTGTTTGTGCAACAAAGTAGCAACACGCCCACAGCACAGCCTCGCCTCGTTCCGCACAGCCCCCTACAGTGTCCACGCCCTATTTCAGTTAAAATCAACAGCTGCCCAAAAACCATTAGCAAGAGGTGTATGAGCGCCTACCAAAGGGTCTGCACGACTAGCAGATGCTCTATAGGCACATGTAGAAGCTATTAGGGATATATTTGGAAAATTTCCTAAGTGATAGACCCAAGGAACTCAGGAACTACATGAGCTACAGTTGCCAAATTTGATATATAACTTCTCATAATACTTACTACGAAGCATAAGTAAAAATGTATTCCATATAACTTATATCAGCCGAGATTCCCGCTCAGCAAACTCAATGAACTCAAAAACTATCTGAGATGGTAACATAAGGCCAGCTATCACAGCTTTGCCACAGCTTATATCAAAGCACTTGTGCCAATTAGGTCAGCTATACCCATATTATCCTACAGTTCCATTGTATAGACCCAAGGAACTCATAAGCTACACAACACAGAGCTTTCGAAATTCATATATGAACTTTTCCAGATAACACTTTAAGGGAAACAAACATTTGCACAATATCAGAATACCCCTTTCAGTGCGTTTTCAATGGGTTCAGGTTGTACAAAGAATGTGAAATAGAATCAACAAATGCGCAGCGCCAAACTAAACTGAAGCAAAAAGTAACGTAAAGAGGCGCAAACAGTGGGCGTGGCATGGCCTGCCTACTATTGAGGCGTTGCGTTTAGTGTTTTTATATATATACTGTTTTTTTTTTATTTTTTATTTTTTTTTTGCTGAATAGTTTTTCAATTTTTTTCCGCTCTTTTTCATGAATGGAACGCAAAACGCGGCTCAGTCAGTGGGCGGCTGGGCGTGGCTGTGCTCGTTAGAAAGCCGACTGCCGACACTTGAAAGTGTTGCCAAAGCTTCTGTGTGTGTGTGTGTGTGCGGGTGTGTGTGTGTTTTGTTGTTGCTTTTTCATATTTCTAGTTCGCCATTCAAGAAGCGAAACAAGCAACAACAAACATGAGCGACAAAAGCGACAGCCGTGCGACATTAATTGAAGTTTGTTGAACCAAAAAAGAAAAGAAAAAAAAAGCTATTTGCATGGCCCCCATTCGTAATGAACTAGCCACGCCCACAGACACAACCGTTCGTCCCACGCTGTGGCAGCATCTTTAGCTGATGACTGAATGATAAAAACAACAACAACAACAGTAGCATAAGAAGAGCAGGAGACAGCTTTTCAATGGGAAAAACACTTCAATCAAGCCAACTGATTGATTGACTGAGTTAGTAGGTCAGTGACTGAGCGATTGAGTGTCTGCTAGATACACTGAATGATTGACTACTTTGTTGAAGGACTGCAGTCAATGATTAACTGATTGATGATTGATTGAGTGACTGCTTGATTACATGATTGCTAAATATTGATTGAGAGATTCAGATTGAATTTGATAGGTTAAGGGATTGACTGCATGGCTTTGGCTGATTGATGACTTGAGTGATTCAGTAACTGATTGACCGAATGATTGATACATGATACGCATTATTGAATGCATTTCATTGATTGACTGATTGGGCCTGGTTGATTGATAGGCAGCTTGGATGACTGCATTGCTTTGACTGATTGATGGCTAGTGGGATTGAGTGGTCGAATGATTGACTGACAATCAATTTGTGTGTCAGATTGAAAGACTATGATGGGGCTGATTGATGACTTGAGTGATTCAGTAACTGATTGACTGAATGATACGCATGATACGCATTATTGAATGCATTCATTGAATGACAAATGAAATGCCTGGTTGATTGATAGCCAGCTCGGATGACTGCATTGCTTTAACTGATTGATGGCTAGTGGGATTGAGTGGTCGAATGATTGACTGACAATCAATTTGTGTGCCGGATTGAAGGACTATGATGGGACTTAAAGGGGAAACAAAGCCAGTGACTGTCTAATTGACTGACTACTTGAGTTGATTGACTGACTGACAAGCGTTAAAGATGACTGACTATAGACATGGGGAGCACAGCTGTGACTGATGACTCATCTATTGACTGATTGACTGGCTGTCTAGCTAATTATCCTGGCGAAAAATAAAACAAAAGCCTGGTTGATTGACTGATTGACTGCTAGCCTATTTGAGGTAATCAATTATTTTATGAGCCGACTGACAGGCCAATTAATAAAATACTTCTCATCAGATTCGCTTCAAACTCATTTGATCTCGCTGAAAATTAAGTGAAGGCGGAAAAATGCCTAAAAACTTTTCAGAAAAAAACGTTACAACAGCTCACAAATGTAATTCAATTTATGATTCAATTTTGTTCATTGTCAGTGCTTCATGGGAATTTTCGCTAGTCTCACTTGCTTTTCAGTTCATTTTCCTGCTTACATTAAATCGTGATGCAATCCGGTGAGAAATTGTCAAAAGAAATATTGCAAAGATATTTCCTGGCAAAGATTTCTGTGAGACACGCTAATTATACCCTATATAGTTGGTTGTTAACTAAATGCGGGGAACTCATTAACTATGGGAGATACCAAAATTTGTATGTTGACTTTGCTTACCATCTCTTTAATGTATATATTGAGTATAGTTCAAATATATGTAATCTAGTTAAGTTATGTATCTTATAGACCCAAGGAACTCAGTAACTAATTGGATTATAATTACCGAATTCGGACTGTGAGCTCTTGAAGAGAGTACTATATATAATTTATATATAATATGTTTAGCTATCTTACTAAAAGTTCCTCTGTAATAGACCCAGGGAACTCAGAAATCGTAAGAGTTGCAAACGTCAATTTTGGTAAGAAAGTTCTTGATAGAGCTACTGAGATTTATAGCTGCATATTTTCTAATACAATTGATAAATAATATTCCTGATGTAGAACATTATCTATGTTTGATAGTCCCTTATTTTATAACTCTTTTTCCTTTCTAGAGTATCTCTGCGTCTCTCCATTTATTGCAGACACATTTTCATTAGTTTTAATAGCAGTGACATTCTCGAGAGCCCAAAGTAGCTGTCTAACTTTTAAGGAAGTTGCAAGAATCTTGGCCCCGCACACGAATCCTTTTTGGCACCAGGTTCAATGCGCCCAACAAATTTCTCTTCGTTTTTCGCTTTTGTTTTGTTCCCGTCATTTTCTCTCGCCACCTCTGACTCTTGCTCCATAAACTTGACAAAGTTGTTGCACAGACAGAAATGCAGAGAATTACGCCCGATCCACTGCACCATGTCCATTTATCCTTCTGCTTAAAAGTTTTCTATTTACCAACTGCGATTTGTTCTCCTTTTTGTTGTGCTTGCTGCAATTGGAATTTCTAGTTCAAGGGAATTCGCCATAAACATTTTCTTCTTATCTGTGTTGATGACAAGACTCTCTTTTTCAGGAGATGTGTGCTTGAATGTGAATATACTCGTTCGGGTAGATAATAGAAGAAGAAGAGGAGTGAGATAGAGAGAGAGAGAGAGGAGAGAGAGAGAGAGAGAGAGGAGAGAGAGAGAGAAAAGGCGAGAGAGACGGAGAGAGAGAGAGAGAGAAAGAAAAGGAGAGACAGAGAAAGGGCGAGAGAGGAGGGAGAGAAAGGGAGACAGACAGAGAATGAGCGAGAGAGAGAGAGAAAGAGGAGGGAAAGAAAGGAAGACAGACAGAGAATGAGCGAGAGAGAGAGAGAGAGAGAGAGAGAGAGGGAGAAAAAGAGA